CTTAAATTTGAGACAGCCACGGGGTTTGCCGAGTGATACCATGGCTAAACCCAAGAATGAGGTTTAAAGGTGAACTTGCGTCGTTCCACGACGTTAACTAAGGCGCTATTTGGGAGGCAACCCAAAACCATTTATTGCTTTCTTTTGCTTTGATAAAATAATGGTGTGTTGATTATGCAGATGAAAGTGTTGAGAGTGAACGAAAAGTGCAGATTGACGAGCTATAGATCTAGTCGGCGAGTCACCGAAAGGATTGGTGTATTCGATCTTATTCGCCATTTTACTCAAGACATTGTCAACATTAGAGTTTGTAAAACTCGGCGAACTTTGGAAATTAGTGGCGAATCGCAGACCATGTCGGCGATCACGATGCAAACCGCCATTTGGACTCCCGTAAACCAGAGGTTTTGTAAATTTCGATGAATAAACTAAACAATCGGCGTTCCGCCGAGTGAGTAGGTGAGCTTAACTAATGTCGCAGAGTGGGCGAAAACTGGACGGTGTTTGCAAGTCAAAGGTTTAAAAGTTTCAATTTCATTCACTTTTCATCTATCCAAACTCACACATGCACTCTAGTTTGTATATTTCTTGCACTTTTGGAGTATTTTGATTCATTGATTTATGCGCGAATTTGGATTAAATTGCCACATAGCTTCTCGGTAGCATTTCAATCAGCACAAAAAGTTAACTTCTTAATACCCGTAATTATTTTTTTAGCATTGTACTCATTTACATACTTTTTGACATTGTTAAAATCTGTTGAACCTACCTGATTGGATATAATTAGTTAAGTGTCGATTGTTATTCCATTGTCTTGCTTAAACTGTGAAATATTGCTCTCCAATGTATCTAGTTGAGTTAATGTGTGATGGGTGGTATTCGTATGTTATGGGTCTTGGTTAAATTTGTGTTGCTTGTGCTTAATTGTGTTTTCGGGAGTGGCGGGGCCGATTTTGAAAAGTTAGGTCAAAAGTAGGCACGATAGGTGATTCTGCGAGCTGTGACGAGCTCACCGAAATACTCTGCGGATCGCCTATATACCCCATTTTTCCATTACTATCATGCTTCATTTGTTGTGGCTGTTGTAACTTTCGGTGAGGAGCACGGGATCGCCAAGTGCATTCGGCGAATCACTGAATAATACCTTACTTGCCCTTTATTGTCTGCACCCCTAACTCCTTCCACACTGTGACCTTCGGCGGATTGTCTATGGCTCGCTGAATGTATTCGGCGGCACGCCAAATGGATTATATAGTCTTTCTACAGAGGAAAGTCTTTGTTTTGGTTGTCGAATATGTTCTAAAATTATCCCAAAGACTTTGCAGACATGGCCAGACCAGAATTTGCAAGAAGAAACATGCCACCTAGACACATAAGAGCGTAACATTTCAGAAGAACTGACAAGAGCGAGAGCACGGAAGCGAGTTCCAGTAGGAAGATTCACAGTGACCCTATTGTCCCTTCATGGGTTCGAGGGTTCATCAATGTGATACATACCTTCAAAGCAGCGTATGATTTGGATAGCACGGTTGAGGCAAGCATCACTACAGTAGCTAAAGTCGAGAGAAAAGAAAATAAGAACATGAAGAAGACTAACCACACTCCGGGCACTAAAGCCTAGACTATGTAGCGACTGCTTAAATAGGATCCCTTCTTTACCTCCCTCTGTCTTCCGTTTAATTACATTCGGGATATTTTGTTAATTGCATTTGAGGACAAATTGCTTTTATTTGTGGTGGGGTAAGGCCCACACCTTTTGTGTGCTATTTGTGTTCGCCTTTTCCATATATATTTGGGTTGTTCTGTTTAAAATTGTGTTTTATCTACTTTTTGTGGATGTTTTAGCTTATGGCTCCTTTTATTTTAAATTGCAAAATGATTCTGACCCTTTCAAAAAAAATTCAGTTTAAAAAAATTTTCGCCACCTCTTGTGTTGAAAGTGGTTGTTCCTGTACAAATTCAAGTCTCGGTTTTGATCAATACCGATGACTTGAATGGTGCTCTCAATTGAACAAACATGAACGTGCGGCTGCGACGAGACCAAATGAAGTTGCATAGACAATATGTGAACTCTTTGCATCTCGTTGAATTTAGCCATTTATCGAATTGATTCTCTTGTAATGACTGTTGCACACTAGCGAAAGTGTATGGTCTTGTTCGACTTAAGTGTCAATGCCTTGTGTGATGAGCTTACTTTGAACCTTGCATGAATAAACCTAGAATTTACCCCGTTAGTCTGATTGATTTAGTGAGATGTGCTCTTGAAATGATCTTAGGCAACTTTTGAAGAGTGTGAGCCAAATTTGACATATACCTCTTTTGTGGCCTACCTGTGAGCATGTGAAACTCTCTTGAACACCCTTTGAGCCAGACCTTTCTTTGGAAGAACCTTGATGAACCCTAGACCCTCTTGACCCACTACCTATAGTCCTCTTGATTTGTAGTTAGTGAATAGCCAACTTATGCGGTGCGGTGAAAAGGAAAATGAGAAGTCAAGAAATGTAAGAAAAGTTTCCCTTAACCCATGGTGTTGCGGAACAATGGAAACCCTCCATAAAAAAATAAAAAAACTAAAAAAAAGGGTTGTGGAATAAAAGTACAAAATAAATTAGGCTTCCAAGCAATCCATGGAGGTGAATAAAAAAAAGATGACTTAGAAGCACTAGAAAAAGAATTGATAAAGGAAAAGAAGGGGATGCCTTGAGAATACCACATCTCATGAGGAAAAAGTCACTGAGCCTAAGTGACCGTACCTTTGCACTCAGCCCCATTATGAGCCTTAGAAAGACCTTTTTTATCTTGAGTGAGCCGAATCGAAGATCGATTGGATAATAAGGGCAAGCCTATGGGTGAAAACATGCATTGTGTTCCTCTTTTTGAGTGTGAGGGTTGCATCTGATTCTTGATCTTGAATCGATTAACCTCTGTGTATGAATATGGAATCATTCTTTATGTTAGGTCATTTAGATACTTTTTGTTGAGCTTGAACTTGCCCAAGTAGCAAGTATTGCGAACATGAAAATCTTTGGTAATGGTGTGCCAGAACTTGAATCTTTTAGTACACAATTGATCTTTGCATGATTAATTTGAGTCTTGTTTTGTATGTTCATGATTTAGTCTTGTGTAGCACTATTTGAGACATCCTATTTGCACTGCTAAACTTGAGTTTTACTTGAGGACAAGCAAAAGATTAAGTTGGGGGTGTTGATGAGTCCATAAATTGGACTCATTTAGGGCATTATTTTAATAGAAATAGTGTCCTCAAATTCTCATTTTATCTTAATATCTGATGAAAACTCTTAAATTTCAGGTATTTGATGCTTTAGTGGAAGCATGGACACTTAGGCGCAAAAAGGAACAAAAAGGCTGAAAAGAACGTAAAAGCTGAAGCCTGAGCTTCGCTAATTACACTTGGTGAATCGCCGAAGGGATGCACTCCACCCTTTGTTCCAGTACGCGAAGCCATGAAGGAAGTGGATCAAAAGGCGATGAAAGGGGCAGTCGATGTGTTGTCGATCAGTTCCGCAAAGAAGAGATATATCGCCTAATGATCCAGGACACAAACACATGGAAGGCAAAGTACAAAAGGTGATGAACCAGAATAAGGGTGAATCGCCGAGTCATTCGGCGATCGCGACTAACCTCACCGAACGATCCGCTGCAGCACCATTTTTTTTAAAATCTATAAATACTCGTTGAGAGTTATAGCTCAGTATCAGATTTTTAGTGTGAGAAACAATTAATATAATTTTAGTACTTTTTATTTTTGCTTTGAGTTTAGGAGGGTTTTGAAACGTTGAAGAAAAAGAGGGTTTCATCTCGAAGGATTTGGACTTGGGTCTCTTGATTTCTTCATTTTTGGCCTGTAACAAGACTTAAATCTTCATACCCATATGAATGCAAGTTCATTTAGGTATAAATTTCTATCTCTTGATGTGTGGCTAAAAAACCCCATTCTTGGGGTGTGACTTAGCGAATATGGGTTAATATTGTTGTTGGGTCTTGCTTGTTGATAGATTAAATGTAGTTTTATGGTGATGTCACCTAGTAGTTGTGGTTGAATTTAATGGGTTTGTAGTTGCAAAAACAAGTCTACCCATGTCTTTTCGCCTTGCTCGAGAGAGAGGTCGTGAAACCAAGACTACTAGACTGATGGCCTAAGGAGTGGGTCGACATGAGGTTCAGCCCGAGAGGGTGAGCCCTAGTCCCATATCCTAACACTCAGCTTGGGAGAGTGAGTGGGGTAAGGCGTAGGCTGCTCTTCATGCGGAAAGTGGGTGTCCGAGAGGAACCCATTTGAAACGGGGTAAGTTGCTCGAGAGAGAATTTATTCCCACTATAGCTTAGCCTAGTCACTATTACTCTATAAATTCTCTATCGAAAGCATGTACCCAATAATTTAGATTAACCTGTATTCCGGTCACATCCCAAGAATCACCCTCTCATTATTAGATTTTCTTGTTGATTTCGTTAATTTTAGCTTACTTGTGACAAAACCACCAAATCGATATTTGACACTTTTGTGTCCCCCCTTTTAATTTAAAATGTTTTTAATCATTAATATCTTTAGCTACGACTAGTTAGAACTAAAATTTATTTTTCTTTAAATTCTCAAAACCACTTCCTTGGGACGTTCCCGACCCTTGGTGGAGTTACTTTATTATCGACGATCGTAGACACTTAAATCGGAAGCAGTGTCGTTGGTCACGATAAGCATCAAATGTCACCTTCAAGATGACCACCGGTCTTTGAAATTTGTTCGCTATAATATTTTTGCATTGCAACCCAACAGATGTGCGAAGTCTATGGGACGCATATTACAGTGATATGTCCAAAGACTTTCGAATGAACCATTCTAGGACAACTAAGGCACAACTCCAATGTACTCTGAAAGTATTAATTATTACTTGGAAAGTATGGGACAAATTGTTGACAAATATGATATCCCGCAAATCAAACAATAATTACAACAAACAGAACCACATGAATGTAGAGAAATAATGGAAGAGAAGAATGTGAATGTGCCAGTTGAAGATGTTTCTGCCCAATCAAAATTGAATCAAGTACAAACCCAAGCTTTCAATACCATTATGAAAAGGGTCAACTCAGAAACACCAGGTTCGTTCTTTGTAGATGGGCCTGGGGGAACCAGAATGACTTTCCTGTATCGAGCATTACTTGGCAAGGTTAGATTAGAGGGTATGATAGCATTGGCATCTGCAACCAGTTGTGTGGTAGTGGCAATATTGCTTGGAAGCCGTACACAACACTCAAGGTTTGGGATACCCCTACAAGCAAATGAGACAAAAATGACAAATATGTCAAAACAAGGTGGAGGTGCTAAACTATTTAGACTAGCCAAAATCATAATATGGGACGAAGCACCCATGGCTAAGCGGCACACAATTGAAACAGTCAATAGAAGCTTTCGCGATATAATGGATAAAGATGCACCTTTTGGAGGTAAAGTCATGGTGTTTGGCAGCGACATCCGTCAAGTTCTTCCTATTGTACCAAAATCTACAGTACGGAGACGGTAGATGCAAGTTTGGTGAGGTCGTATTTGTGGCCTTTAATGGAAAAGATACAACTTTCTACAAATATGCGAGCAAGAGCAGATACAAGTTTCAATGAGTTCTTGCTTCGTATTGGTAATGGAGAAGAAGACACAATTAGAGAAAATTTAATAGCACTTCCAGAACAAATGATTACCCAATTATGTCAAGATAGTAATCTAGAAGAATCCTTGGTCAGGGAAATATTTCCGCCGCTTCAGGATAATTATAAATAAGCAGAGTATATAACAGAACGGGCAATCTTAGCAAGTAGAAATGAATTTGTAGATAACTTGAATGAATTGATGATTGAAAAATTCCTAGGAGAAACAAAAACATACATCAGCTTTGACTCAGCGGAAGATGATACCAACAACTACTATAAAGAAAAATACCTCAACACCTTAACACCAAATGGACTACTGCCACATAGGTACATTATCACATACATAAAAACTTACACATATGTCTTATTATTATGTTAGCTCATAGCACAAATGAAAATTAAACAATTGTCCAATCACTTATAAATATCTATTGATGAATGCTTACATTGTATATCTTAGGTTAGGACTCAAAGAATATGCGCCCATAATGATGTTGAGAAATCTGGACCACTCAAATGGTTTGTGCAACGGTATGCGATTGATTTGTAGGTGTTTCGACAATAATGTCATACATGCCGAAATAACAATAAGTGAATATGCCACAAAGCAAGTGTTTTTTAAGAATACAAGTATCACCACCCGAGAATGAAGGATATCCTTTCAAATTTATTCGGAAACAATTTCCAATACGTCTATGCTTTGCAATGACGATATATAAGGCACAGGGTTAAACAATACCAAATGTTGGATTGTACCTACCACAACATGTTTTCTCCCATGGTCAACTGTACGTAGCACTATCTAGAGGAATGTCTATGGAGAAAAAAAAGTATTGGTAATGACTAAACAACCAGAGCGGCACCCGGGGACATACACAAGAAGTATTGTCTGCAAGGAAGTTCTGGGAGAGATTTGATTACCAAATAAGACGTTACTTTTGTGTGTATTACAATATGAAAATATACAGTACAATTATTAAATACTATTGAATAGGAGACACACTGTTCAGGACAGAACATAACTAATACGCCAAAGCGTTCTTTCATCCACAAGTGGTTACCAACAAATATTATACTAAAACATTAACAGTACGACACTCAACTGTACATGCCATAGAACAACAAGCAAGTTCAGTTTCTGGTTGGTAAATATGGCGTAATAAATAATGAATTACAGAGCAATATTATGTAATACTGTAATATAGATTAATCAAAGCTTTTGCGTGTATATGGATCTAAATACATGGCATACATGTGCACCATCCGTGCACATCACGTTACCATACTCCTTTCACACTCACCACAATCCTCAGAAATAGACATGACTTCCAAGTCTCGCATTGTAAACATGCACCAGCAAGTATCCCCCGACAGACGCAGCTACTCGCTATCCTATCATTAAAACAGACGAGCACAGATTCAACCACAAACAAATAACCAATATCATAACAAATATCCAACATCAGTAAAAAAACAAATAGGTCTGCCCAGTTATATTCTCTATGACCTGTTACAATCTTAGTATAACACATAGTCCTACCAGGCTTTGAAAATTTAAATTCACGACATCAACTACAAGACAAGATGAAGACTACACCTTGCAGTGAGAATAATACTTGACAAAAGTAGTAGACATCCAATTATATGTGATAGGTCGTGAACTGACCATTGATGGTTTTTCTTTCAGATTTCATGCTTCCAAATAACCAAAAAGACTATTTATGAGTTTATTAGAAGTATTCCAGGTGAGGACCTATAGAAAAGGGTTCACAAGGAAAAGATCCAAAATGGAGCTAAACACGCGAGTTTGGGGAACAAGTACAAGGTTAGGTACTTCCCACTTGCAAAAGAAGAGCCACACCTGCAACTCAACATCCACAAAAGAGTCCTACACGCATACAAGGCGACCACTCCGGCTGACACGGTGAAGCCCAAAGCTGATTGAGCCAAATATAATACAAATCCATTTTTATACATGTATCAATCTCGATATACGGCAAGCACATGCAATGCAGGTACGGTAAATCTAGTATATATATATATATATATATATATATATATATATATATATATATATATATATATATATATATATATATATATAAGGGTCTACAGTTCAAAAATTTATTATTTCACTAACAATTTTAACTTCGATTTCAGTTTTGCTGATTTCTTTTTCTTTTTTCTTTTTTTTTGTTGTACATAATCAAAGTTGTTGCATTTTTGTTGCAATACTAGAAGCTAAAAACATAAAACAAAAAGAGCTTGACCATACATGAGTCTCTCCCATCCAAAAACCCCACCATGCGTATTCCCAGAGAAGTATGCCAAAATTCCTGATGATAGCTTCATTCTAGAAGCTGCCAAAAAAGTGACAGATATTCTCACAGAAACCACTTCACCATGAAATTTTCTAGGAAATTCACCTAGCTTGCGGCCTGTGAGACACTGTCATGAAGGATATATCACCTAATATTGATGCATCCCTCATGATTCAACAAATTATTCTAGTATAAAACTTTGAACTAGAAACTAACAAAGATACTCCGGAAAAAATCCCAACATACTAGAATATAAAGAATATAAAGGGGGAATTTCCCTTAATATCTTCTTGATGAACCAACATTTCAGTATTCCGATAGATGTTATGATAATGACAAACGTGAACCAGCTTCACAAGTTTGTTCAAGCATGGAGTTGAAAATAGTGGGAAGACATAAATCCTTATTAAAAGTAAAGACGCCTAAATAAGGAAAAGAAAGTGCAGAAGAATCCTTGTAGGGAAAGGAACACTTTTTAAAAAAAAATCTAATTACTTTTTTTGTATGATTCAACTAGGGTTTAATCGTCCCTTATAAAAGGATCTATTGACAAAGTGAAAGATAGTTTTTTGCAATCTAGAAATCTAGAGAAATTTGTGGAATGAACTCGTGTGGCGCTAAAGTTAAAGATGAGAAGAAAGAAGAACTGGAGTTAGGTTTTGTTTTTAAAGCTTAGTTAGCATTGTTTCATTATATAATCAGTTTTTAGGAATGATTGTTCTTAAGTGTGAAAAAGAATTTGTGAGGTTTGTAAAAAGAAATGGGTATGAATTCTTCGAGTGAAGAGTGCACAACTATCGGTAGGTAGTGTAAATAACAAGAAGTGGATTTTTCTTCTTGGAGAGTGAGTAGTGTATAGGGTTATAGTTAATTGGGGAATAGTTTGAGTGAACTTTTGAGGTGAGGTACTACAACTCGTCCCTTTGATTATTTAGTTGTAATCTAAAGTTTCTCTTCGATTATAGTGAAGTTGTGGTGTGGCTTTTCTTCCCTTGAGCAAGGAGTATTTCAAGGATAAACTTGTTATTATATTTATTCCATTTATTCTCTGCAACGTTTAAAAAAGAACCTAGTCGGGTTCTTATTTAGGTGGTTAAGGTTTCTTGAATTTGTATAGAACAAGTTTTTCAATAAAAAATGTTTACACATTGAAGAGGATCAAAGTCTGCACCAACAACTGCTCAAGAAGGAGTATCTCAAACAAGCACCCCACTATTCAATAGAAAATACTATGAATGGTGGAAAAAAAGAATGATGGATCATCTTGTAGGAGAATATCCCAATCTATAGGGAGTTATTCTAGATGGTCCCACCATTGGTATGAAAAATGGTACAGATGGAATTACTCAGGTTCCAAAGTTGGAAAGGTATGGGATGTTATTGATAAACTAGTTATTAAGAACACTATGAAGGCCATAAAGATCCTAATATCTGGAATAGGTCTGGATGAGTACAACTGAATCTCTTCATGTCCAAATGACAAAGTAATATGGGAAACTTTGCAGACAACCCACGAGGGAAAAACACAAGTCAGGAAATAAAAATTGATAAAAAAGACAGAATGAGTTGTTCTGAATGATAGACGGTGAAACAATTCAAGACATGCATACCAATTTCACGACTATCATCAATGAAATCTACCCATCAGGAGAAGTGATTACAAATGGAAAGGCAGTTAGAAATTTTTTGAATGTTCTTCCTTAATCTTGGGAAAGCAAAGTGGAAGAAATTACTGAACCACATCATCTTGATACTCTAACCATGGATGAACTTATAGGAAATCTCATAACTTATGAACTCAAGAAGAATCAAGAAAACTAAATTGGAGAAAAGAGAAAAGAGAAGAACCTGCTTTTCAAGGAAACAACACTGAATGACTTCGAGGAAGAGAACATCGCCCTGATGACTAAAAGGTTCTCGAGAATACTGAAGAAAGGTCAGATGAATCAACGGAGAAGCTTTAAGATTATGACAGAGAAAGACATAAGATATCATGTATGTCAGAAATGGGGAAGCCCATATCACTTCATCAAACTCTATCCTTCATGGGTGTGGAACATAAGAAAAAGAATATAGAGAAATCGAAAGAGACTAGAGGTGATCATTTCATTCCCACAAGCAGAAGGATGACAAATTAAGAAGTAGATCTCTCTGTGAAAAAGTCTTTTGCTACCATGGGTAGCTCATCAGAAGACGAATCTGAGGAAGGAGAATTTGAAAATCCATCCCTTCTTGCAATAGAGGGACAAAAAAATACCGCCTCCTTGCACTAATGACCATTACTGAATGTGATGAGAAAAAGAACATAAGTCAATTAAAAGAGACAATCATGGTGCTAACAGCATCAACTGATTTTGAGGAAGAAGAGGAAGATGGCAAGCAATCTAGGTAAGATTTGATCTTATCAAAGAAAATCTTTATCTTTACTCAAAAATAAAATTTGGGTCTCTACTTTGGACTCTTATTGGTGTATATCAATCAACCTACACAGAAATGAACAAATGATGGAAGAATATGCATCCTTAAGAGAAGAAAATGAGATTCTTGAAAAATGAAAC